ACTCTTCTCTACCAGTTTTTCACAGTTGATTTTTCAGTATATCAAGCCTTTCTTCCAAAATATCTTCAGTTGTACTTGAACCTCCAACCATTTGGTTAAAAGCCAAGTGCTTAACACTGGTGGCTTAGTGATAAGCAATTGGGTGCTGTCAATCCAAAGGCACATGGTCTAACCCACCAGGTGCTCTGAAGGAAGAACATGGGCAGCCTCCTATGCAGTACACTACCTCTGAGAAATCCACGTGAGTCAGCTATGACTCTGCTCTGACTCAATGGTTCACAACCACCCAAAGGTTCAATGTGTATAGGAAATCTCTCACTAAACTATAAACAGTTTGAATATAGGGGTGATCCTATTCACCAATATAGCCTACATATCACTTTAAAAACTTAGTCCAGAACAAAGGCTGCATAGTGGAGTGGCTTGGGGGGGGAAGGATTGTATAACAATGCAAAGAATTTTTCTTTTACTTTTCAAAGAGAAAAATGAACTGGAGGGGAGGGGTAGGAAGGGAGAAAAGTACAACAATGAATGAATGGAAATTCAAAGTCTCTGTAAATTTTCAATAAAATTAATAATAATATAAAAAATAAAACCTTATGTTTAATTTTTAAAAAAACCCACAGAGCTGTAATAAATATAAAGTTACACATTCTGTCAAGAATTGAACTGTATCCACCAAGAATATGTGTATCAAATAATTTTTTATTGTCATTAGGAGCCACCTGAGTCAACTCTGACTTAGATCAATAAAACACAGAAGTTATTTAATGATCTCTCATTAGAAGTTAAACAGCTATAAAAGGTGGGATACAATACAATTAATACCATCAGAACCTTAATTCAGAAGGGGGCAGGGGAGAACTTCTGTCCTACCAAGAAAAAATTCACTGAGAGTAAAATGTCCCTGCCTGGCCATAGGTCCCCATGCTGGGACACCCCCTGACAGAGGGGAAGGCCCACGAAAGTAGAGACCACCAAGGGAGGTGAGAAGGCAGGAAATAAAAAATCTCCTCTAGGGCAAAGAGAGAAACCCTTCCTCCAGAGTGGGCACCTGGAATTTGTACTGCTAGCCTCCTAAATGACAGGATAAATCTATTTGTTAAAGACATTTATGTATGATGTCTCTGTTACAGCTGCACATTCCATGGAGGATAATTAAGGAATATTTTTAATATTTAAAAGTAATGAAGCATCTCATTTCCCAACTCTGGATAAACCAGCAACACTCAAACCTAACTTTTTCATTTAGTCCACAGACAATTAAAAAACGATCGCTCATGCAAGAACACCACCACCTCTTTCTTTGTTGCCAACAGATTTGACCCTCCCACTTTGTTGGTTTCACACTTATTTTTTTACTAGTTACTTAGCAACTGCTGAAATTCTAGATTCACAAAGTGCCTTAGCAGTTTGCAAACAGTGGATTTAACCTACTGGAACAATGCTGTATTCTGGCAGGCCCTTATTGATATGTAGGTTGTTTTTAACTGTTATTTTAAACATTACTGCAACACACACAAACACACACATATACATCTTTGTATGCTGGTCCAATTAGTTTATTACTCATTTCTTCAATTGTGCTAAGAATCATTTAAGAAGTCAAGCCTCTGAAAACCTCCTGGAGGGTCAGCTATCAGTCAGTTCAGCCTCCACAGTTCATAGCAATCCTAACAGAGAAGAGCTCCTAGGACATCTGGCACCAGCAGCCAGGAAATTAAAAGGCGCATTGCCATAGGAAAGTCTGCTGTTAGGGACCTCTCCAAAGTACTAAAGAGCAATGGTGTCTCTCTGGAGACTAAGGTGTGTCTGATACAGGTCATGGTCTTCACAATCACTTGTTATGCATCAGAGAGTTGGACAATGACCAAGGAGGATAGAAGGAGAATTGATGCCTTTGAGCTGTGGTGCTGGAGAAGAGTATTGAGAATACCATGGACTGCTAAGAAAACAAACAGATTTGTCTTGGAAAGGGTTAAACCGGGAGGCTCCTTGGAGGCAAGGATTCTGAGGCTACTCTAACATACTTTGGACATGTGAGGAGAGACAGGTCCTTGGAGAAGGGCATCATGCTTGGGAGGGTGGAGGGACAGCGCAGGAGGGGAAGGCCCTCTATGAGGTGGATTGATTCAGTGACTGGGATAATCGGGATGGAAGTGTCAGAGACAGTGCGATTGGCACAGGACAGAGCAGAGTTTAGGGCTGTTGTACATAGGGTCGCTATGAGTCGCAAGCGACTCCACGGCACATAACAACATAGAAGACTGGGGAGCTCCCCTCTGGGACTGACTATTCATCCCGCTGACCTTTCCCTGTTTCCCTTATCCTGTAAGAGATCTCAGAGCAACAAGTCTGGTGTTTAATATACATTTGATCATGGATTCCAATGGCCTCCTACCAAAGATAGGAAAAAACAGATTCCACGACTTACTGCCCTCTTTTTCCTTCTGTGACTCTCCCCTTTTCCTATTAAACCCCAGACAAAAGTGGTCTTCTTTCAATCCCTGAGACAGCACATGTTCATTCCTCCCCAAGGCCCTTTGAACTTGCTGGTTCCTTTGTCTGGTAATGTCACGTCGTCAGACATGCCTTTCCTGCATCACCCGTCGAAAGTCACCCCACCTCTATGACAATCCCATCACCTCAGTCACTTTATTCAGGGTATCTTAATTACTGTTTCCCCAACCCGTTCTCACAGGAAGTAAATCTCAGGAAGCAGGGTCCCTTGTTCTCTTTGTATCCCCGGCATCTGCTAACACACAGACAGGTTGACCTAATATTTTTAAGTGGGGAGGAAAAACTCTGGGGTGCTCAATTAATGTGTTGAGGGGGGAGAGGGGAAAAAATTTGAAGCTTGGCTTCCTATCTTGAGTCTGCAAAAATCCCCTGTGCAATTACGTACTCCCTTTCCTCCCTTGTAGCCACTTCTACAAGTTTCCGTAAAAAGCCAAGCAAGATTTGCAAAAGCTTCCAAAGTTGAACTCTGAAATGCAACACGATGCGGGGCACCGAAAAGCTATACCAGAGGGAGAGAAACTCGATGCTTCCGTAGCAATTTCGCAGCCCCGCCCCAGACACAGAGGTAGAAGGCGGAGCCTCCGCGTTACTTACCAGTTCATCCGGACTGAGGACTCCGAATTGCACTCTCTTAATGGTGCGCAGCGGGCATGCGCTGTCCCCGGAGGGGGGGCCACCCCCGTGCATCGCGAAGGCTGACGCGCTGCGCAGGCGCAAACCTCCCTACAAAAAGCCAGCGCCGCCTCAGCCTAAGTGCTCAGAGCCTTTCGGGGCGGCCACCGAGAAAGATCTCCAGAGTTGGGAGGAAGAAAGCCGAGAGGAAGGCGGGTGGGGGAGGGGAAGGAGGGGGAAATGAAAAAGAGCGAAAGGAGCTCTTCTCCCCCTTTCCGGAGATTTTTCGTCTCCCAAAAAAGAGGGTGGGGGAAAGGGAGGAAGGGAAGGTCTGGGAGGAGGAAGAAGAAAAAGGAAAACGAATAAATAAGTAACCGGGCTCCTGAACGGCAGAAGTTACGGCAGTTTGTCTCGCCCCTTTCGGGAGCCTCTTTCTTCTCCAACCGTCTCGGCCGCGCTCTCCGCGCTTCTGAGAAGCGAACTGGCTGAATGACGCCCTTTATAGATTCGCCCTTGCGTCCCCGCCCCTTCCTTTCCCGACCTCCTTTGCGCTACGGGGCTGCCGGAGTAGGCCTGCAGGGGATGCTTCCTGCTGTTGTTGAGCCTCCCTACTCTCCGCTCCGGTTGGACGACCATTTAAAATGGCAGGGGGAGGGGAGTTTCTTTTCCCGCTGCTTCCCTTAAATACCCTCTCTCACACTGAGCTTTAAGACTGAAAGGAACGAGAGTCATTTCGGTCGTTTTTATTCTAGTTTGGAGTATGATTTCACTTTCAACAAAACTCTTGTTAAATATACCCCTCTAGATAAAAATGGTTTCTCCTGCGAATTGGTAATAAAGGAGGTGGGCCCGATCGGTTCCTCCCCAGTGGGTCCCAGGGGCTGTCCTTATCATAAATATGCACTGGGCTTGCTAAATATTCATGGACATAAGATGGCGAGGTCAGTTGCTTATCCGGAAGTAACCGACGTTGGTTAAGGGGGACCTCTCAGGATGGGTGGGCATTTCCTGGCTTCTCTGGGAGTGCTGAGCGGAGGCTTGCTTCTGGAAGTCTGGTCTGAGCCACTGGGTTATAAGCCTCAGCTCGGTGGCTGAGCTAGGAGGAGACCAGACTGTCCATGAGACATCACGGGACCATGACAATCCGGGAAAAGCAGATTAGCCTAGGGGCGGGACGTGAAAAATTCTGGTGGACTCAGGGTCAAGGAATCTGAACATTAGGATGTCCTTCCACTTCTAGGATATTTCAGAAATAAGATTAAGGGTAGAGTAAGGGTAAGAGCAGCGTAGGACCTCCACTCCTAGCGCAGAGATGACACCAACTGCACAGCTGCATTCCGAGCGTTCCTTGTTTGAAGTCAAAGTCACTTCACCATCTGGAGGGGTTTGGGTAGTGGCATGAGCAGGAACAAGTGAAATCATCCAGCGCTTAGGTATAAAAGTACTCTCCCCTCTCCAGGTGCAATATCTAATTGCCTCAACACCTCAAATAGTCTAATCCTCAGGCTCTTTCTAGGCTGTGAGGGAAATAAACGTTCTCCACTACCCTGTGGGTATCCTGCCCTGTCTCATCCCTCAAAGCTTCAAGCCCTTGTATCTGCTCTTCAGTTCTTGCCCTTTAGTTACCAAAACTCCTCATCCCTTCAAAGCTTGCTCTGGAGCTCCCAGTTAGTCCCTCTCCACCAAGTCCACCCCATGACTTCAGGGATGTCCCTTTCCTATACCAGTTCTTTTCAGTCACTTGTTCTCCCAAGTTTGTGCTCTAGTCTCTCCTCCTATTACTCTGTCCTCCTACTCCTACCCCCACCCCCAGGCTCTCAAATTCAATTTCATTCCTTCTTCTCCTCCTCCTCCTCCTCCTCCTTTTTGTCCTCTTCCTCTTCTTCCTTCTCGCAGCTGAGTTTCTTGACTGTGATAATGAGGATGCTGCCCAACACAATTCCTGCTCCCATGATGTCAGAAAGTGCCACTGCCTCGTCAAGCACGTAATATTGCAGTATGAGGGCCACCACCACCTCGGAGTGCAGGACAGCACATACCAGAGCAGGGTGGGCTTTAGTGACTGCATAGCGCACACACAAATAGGAGAATAGGGAGCAGGTACCCACCGCCACTACACAACTCCAAGTCAGAGGGTCTTTAGGAAGGACAGGGGTCTGCAGGAAAAAGAGGCCTGGCACGGAGCCCACTAGCCCCACCAGGCCAAACAGGAAGGCCACTGTTGGTAGGCAGGAGGGAAAGTGTAGGGAGCGATACACTTGAAGCCCCAGTGCCAGTGCCAGGCCCCCCACAAAAGCCAGCACATAGCCGATGGCAGTGTAGAGCCCAGTCGTCCCCTCTTGCAGTGTTCCTAGTCCAGGTCCCACAATGATGATGAGCCCCAGGGTGCTGCCCAACAGGCCACACCAGTCGTAGCGACTGAGACCCTGGCGCTCTAAGCAGAGGACGAGGAGAGCGGAGCAGATGGTGGAAGAACCTTTGCCAACAGTCACAGCATTGCCAGTAGGCACCAACTGCACTGCACTGTAGGCACATCCAATGCCGAGGACATTGAGTATGGCGTGAAAGCAGGCCCGTCCCCGGGCTTCAGGAGGTCCCAACAGTGGGTCACCAAGAAATTTCAGTAGCAGAGCAAAAGGGAGGTGGAAGAGACATCTGCAGATGAGCAGCTCCAACGAGGGGAAGCCAGAAGTCTGGTAAGCGATACGGGAGGCGAGTCCCACGAAGGCTGCAAACAGGCCCCCACCCAGCAGGGCCACAAGCAGGCCCTTGGTGGCATCAGAGGGTCGGAAGTGGAAGCATTGCTTTGAGGGGAGGCTGCCTGGAGTGGATGGTGGTGATGGTTGGGTGAAATCAGGCAGGTTGGAGTAGAGTTGATTTCCAGCCTGTTAGAGAGACAGGAGCTCAGGATGGAGGGCATTCACAGCCTGGGGGACCTGGGGCTGGACCAATGCCAGGCTGGGGTCTAGAACCCTGTGGGACAGTAGGGGGCAGGCTTTCTTGCTGAGGATCTCTTGGAAGCTAGATAAAAATGGCCTGAAGATGAATGAGTGAGGTGGTACAACAAAGGCCTTTAGATTATAAAGCAGGAAGCAAGGAGTGAATTCTTGGAGCATGGGGTTTCTCTGGGTAAACTGTTCCTTGGGGGAGGAAAAAAGAGGGCCCAGGGCTACTTGTTTGAACAGGGGGAGGTGACTTTAGATGCTCTGTGTGACAGATCACACATCTGTGTGATAGTCACAGATCACTATAACCTTCATTTGTGAATACCTCTAGAACAGATGGATGGTTTCAGAAAGAGGGGGGCAGCCAGGAGCTAGAGGGATAGAGTATTACTAGTCCACTTGACCCCACACTTACCATCTTTCCTTGGATTTCCTCTTCTCCTCCTGGCTCAGGGGACCTTGACCCCTCAGACCTCCAGCCATTGTGACCTGGCTGGAGTGGGGATGGGGTTCTTTCCTGGAATCTCCCAGAGGTGGGGGTGGGGAATCCTTCCTGGAATTGCCCTAAGGTGGTGGGGATAGGATTATTTTCAAATTATTATTTCAAATTATTTCCAACTCAGCTTGCTTTTTATCTGCATCATCATGATTCTTGTTTTCTCTTTGCTTCAAGTTCTGTGAAGCGACTTCTTTGGTCTTAATGTGTTTATTTATGTCTCACCTTGTTTCAGAAAGGGTTTAAGAACATAAGCTCCAAGGGCTGCCGGCTCTGTCGCCTGGGTTTTGAATTTTCTGGGATTGTCCCTCTGGAGTTTCAGGAATGTTTGTTCTGTATGCCTGCGTCCTCCTGGTGTTTTGTTGAAGTGTCCCAGGAGGCCCCATGGTCTCTGCATTTATGCACGGGAGATGGAATGTAGATATTTGGGCTAGTGGGGACAAATACCAAGCTGCCTGCTCATCTACCCGGGTGGTCAGTGATGTGTGACTCCTGGAGAATTTCAGTCTCTCTTGTCCTAGGCCTGCTGAGGTATGTACTCTGCACTTTGCTGGGGCGGTTGTGTGTGTCCAGGAGCTGCCTGCCTCTCAGTGTGCTGGCCCCAGAGCTGTGAGTCTCACTGGGCCTGGACTGTGAGCTTGACATGTTGTGTCTTCACACAGAGTGGGTACGTGTGCCCTGGATGGTGTGCACTGCTGAGTGAAAGGCAAGCAGGAGGGAGGTAGGGGTTCCCTTCCCAGAGAGTGGGCGTTCTCGGGGGAGCCACAGCCCGGCTGGCTAGCACCCCACCGGGTGCCTATTGGCCCGGCGGCCCTAAGCAGTGCGGTCTCCTTCGGATTGGTCCCAGGGAAGGCCGCTGAGACCACTCGGTCCAAGCCTGGAGCTAGGAGCCTGGAGCCGTATGTCGGCTGCGCCGCGCCGGCCTCCTCTCCGCGGCAGCGGCGCTGGGAAGGGA